AAAAAATCCAGTAATACTTTACCCGACCCGGGAATCGAACCCGAGACCCCTTGCCCGGCAGTCACACTTGCGACCACTCGGCCAATGAGGCAGTAGTGTGTAACTGGAGCTGAACTGTTGGAGCGTTTCATCTACACCCTGTATGCCCCGCGCCTTAGAGTTAGAGCTAAATAATTCTTCATTTTCGTTATTAAAATTTTTACAACACTCATAATATTAAACGCAACAAAAGCACCTAACATGTGCTGCAAGAGACAATAACATTCTAAATAAAAAATGCCGCAATATAAATAATTTCTGCACGAAACCCGTCTACAATAAAAAGATGCATAAACAGCTTATAAAATAAGGTGCTAAAGAGCTTAGCATACATCTCTCATAACAGAAAAATATCTACTATTTAGCATTTAAATTATTATATTTCTATGTAATATTGGAATTAAAAGAAAGTAAAGAAAGTGACTGCCTCGTTGGCCGAGTGGTCGCAAGTGCGACTGCCGGACAAGGGGTCTCGGGTTCGATTCCCGGGTCGGGCAAAGTACTACTGTATAATTATAAATTCTCAGTAGTAGCACGGAGTCTGGAATTGTGCCCGGTATATGGCAATAGGCTCACCCCCTATTACATGGGACTCATAACATAAATAGTGAAAAAGTGGGTGTTACATTGTACCTACAGTGGCATAATGTACACCTCTGCCTTACCCCTTCGGGGATAAAAGGCAAGCCAAGGCAAGGATGTTATGTTATGTAAAGAAAGTTGCATAACGTATTATTACTTTTTTCGGTTCCTTTTTCTAAGGTCGGCTACAGTGCCGGATCTGAGGGCTAGTACGGGCCGAAGCAAAGTGCCAACCTACTTGGACGTTGCAATTTTGGGTTGGGGTGAACGAAACTTTATCGGTTTCGTTCAAAAATTTTCGAACAATATGACAGGTATTTAAAATTGCAACTTTTTGGAAGAATTCGATATGTGTATATGGAGGTAATTCGAGTATTTTTATGGATTGATGGAGTTGTTTCGGAATAACCCCCGTTGTTGATAATAATATGGGAACTATTTTTATTTTTATTTATTACTGGAAAGAATAGACAGGGAAAGAATGGATTCTTCATCTGTTTTACGTCTAGGTAACATAACCAAACACTGGTCACAATTTGAAGCCAGAACGATCACCATTATCTCCATCGTCATCACGTCAACGTCAACTCTACTCATGGACTCTCAAAACAACAGAGGGGTTACAAGTGCGTTGCCGACATTTTGGAGATTAGGAGTTTGAGTATTGTTGGGGATTCGGGGATTGAAGATGTTGGTAATTGGAAGGCAGGTAATCTGTCTGGTCTGGGGCCGTATCACACTAGTCGAACCGACCCATTCGTGAAGCATGACTCTCCTACACTTAAACTTTGATTCTCATGAGAATTTTCTGATTGGAGGATATTACACTCTGTTCCCTAAATAAGTAATATAACATCTAAAAGAAAGTGACTAAAGAAAGTTGCTAAAATGTTATAATCGTGAGAATGAACGAAGTCACCAATACTTGAAACTAGTTAGAGTATGTCCACTAATACTATTATATCAAATTACACTCACTTGCGTTTTCTCTGAAGTACTGAGAATTGGGAACAGTGATGATGAATGAGCTCCACTGTTCGCTGGTGACTGAATAAAATACATTTTTGTAACTACCTTTTTTATAGATGGGCCGACGTTTGACCACTATGTCGCCTGGCCAGCTACGATGTGGCCTACGATGGAGCGCGTCTACCCATAAGCAACCTATTCACTCGGGACTTGACGCACCCAGATTATACCCTTGAAGAGACACAGACTCTGGCAAAGTTTTCCACTCCTTAGGAAGGAAGCTTGTGGCGAAGCGCATCGTGCGAGTGGGTGGAACGTTCACCGCGAATGAATCTCTACTCTTCCTGTAAGTCATAAAAACCGACAACGCCTAAGTCTAACAACCTAATTCTTACAACACAAACTAAAAGAAAATATATTTAGATCAGTTAACAGCGTTATGCTTTGGTGTGACTGTGACTTCCCGAATCGATGACCGAATCTCTTTTTCATTTACGAATTTACGCATCAGGAATTACAGTATCCCTTTATTGTTATAAATGCAGAAGTGTGTGTGTGTGTGTGTCATTATAACGATAAAAAGACTACATCTTGCCACATTTATTCGATTCGATTGCATGGTTGGCTCGGTGGCTGGGTTGCCAGCTGCCGCGCAACGTGTAGCGGGTTCACTTCCCACACGGAGTGTATATATGAACTTGTATACGTATGTAAACGCTACCAAGACACAGGAGAAAATCCTAATGTGGTGTGCAATGTTTATGTTTTAAATATGCATTTCTAATATACCTATATGCATGGAATATGTTTGCATAAACAAGAAGTAATTTTTTTATATCACCAAAATGTAATTGTTTAATGATTCGCCATGGTGTTATCATTCAAGGGCGTCCCGTGACAGAACAAAATTTAACGTCTTACTTACACAATCAAAGGAAAGTGAAGAAAGTTGACAAAACTTGTATAATATTGTGTGAATAGCTATTGTTGGTCAAATATTGTCACTGTACAAATATTTGCAGAAGTTTAAACATGCAAAAGACGATGTTGGTAATAAATTAAATTAAATAATGAACTATATTTAGAGAAATTTGATTTATTTGTCTTATTTGTTTGAAGATAAAACAGCTCAGGTTTACACTTAAATAAAAATAGATGACGCTTCTGTTATAATAATTGTCAGAGTCATTGGAGTAGAAAAAACGGAAGAAATGAAAGAGGAATCGACAAGATTCCTAGATTTTCTGACAAATTGTCTTTTAATAAGCCCTGTGTTACGATGTAGACTAGAACATATTTTATTTTATCACCAACCGTAGACTCTTTTTCAACCTATGATCTTCAAACCACCTTTTTTAATGGGGACAAGCCCGTCATAACCTCCCAAAACCACTGCAACTCCTGTAAGCCAGGATCTACAGTAGACACAACCATGAAATTACCGGAACACTGAAGTCCGGCGCGACCCAGGGACATGAATAACTGCCTGTCGAAGGTAGCGATTATGGAAATCCCTCTCAGGTGTAGTGTAGTCCAACAGTGGACGATTGGGCTGTTGATACAGTTTGTAACTGTGTATTTGTAGTCACAAAATTATAATTACGAGCACAATAATTAACAAAGTATAGTACGGGATTAATTTTATTCTAAACTAGCGACTCGCCCCGGCTTTGCACGGGTGCAATATGCATGTATTATACATACAAACCTTCCTTAAGAATCACTCTATCTATTAAAAAAAACCGCATCAAAATCCGTTGCGTAGTTTTAAAGATCTAAGCATACATATGGACATACAGCGAAAGCGACTTTGTTTTATACTATGTATTGATAATTCTTATATAAACTACATTTCAAAATCAAGTACCCCTCCCCCTGGTTTAAATCCTCTCTTTTATTTATGAAGTTGGTCAATTAAGATAAAAAGAACCTTCTCCTAAGGGTAATAATCACTTTTCTGAAAACAACATAAAACCGGTGCAGCCAATTGCTCACGTACATACATTCATTTTGCAGGCGGTTAAAAACGAAGTAGTTACCTTTTACCATTTTACTCAATCCGTTGTAGAACATTTTATAGAGTTGCCCTTCTGCGACTTTCTATCGAGTGTCGTCACGGTGACCAGTTGCGCGCCAATCGGTCAAGAGCATTCACCTGCTGTGACCCACCGCCCGTACCAACACGAATGAAAGTCGATTACTTATCGCCCAGTGAGAATTTGTATTATAGTTAATTAGTTTTTTTATGGCATAAGCTGGTAAACGAGCTGACGGATCACCTGATGGTAAGCAATCGGCGTCGCCCATGGACATCTGGAACACCAGAGGCGTTACAAGTGCGTTACTGGCCTTTTGGGGATTAGGAGTTTGAGGATCGTTGGGGATTCAGGAATTGGGGTGATTGGGGAAAGTGAGGGTAATTGGGCGTCCGGTAACCTCACTCACACGACGAAACGCAACGCAAGCGTTGCTTCACGTCGGTTTTCTGTGAGGCCGTGGGATCACTCCGGTCGAGCCGGCCCATTCGTGCCGAAGCATGGCTCTCCCACACTTAAAAGTATTATTGTGACAAGAATTTTATATATTTTATTGTTGTAGTTATTTTAATAGTTGTAATATTGTTGTTTTTAGTGCAGAAGTAGCACATTTTTTAAACAGGTTGATGAGTCACCTGATGGTAAGCATTCAGCCCCAACCATGGACATTCAAAACGCTAAAGGAGTTCCAAGTGCGTTTTACGAATCTAGAAATTGGTGGACCGTAGTGATACCACCTCCACGGCCTCACAGAAAACCGACGTAAAACAACGCTTTTTGTTGTTTCGTCGTGTGAGTGAGGTTACCGGAGGCCCAATTACAAAAACATTACAAAATTTTTCGTATTGATGTTTATCAGAAAACGTTGTCAAGATCAATAATCATAAATTTATTATTGTTACAAAACTAGGTGACTAGTTAAAGTAATACAGTACAATATTTATAACTCATTTTATGTTATTACTAAACTTGTTATCAAAACATTTGTATCTTTTTACAACTCTCAATAAAAGCACACTAAATTACTATACATTAACTTTAATTTGCGACAGTATTATTTTTATAAGTCAACTTGTTTTCTTTTCTTCGTAATTGAGACAAAACAACACCTAATAAATTCATCATTATTGTCAAAAAATCAAAAAGCGTAACCAACGAAATTCGAAACAAGAAATCACTTACTAATGCCACAAAATAACATATCATACCAAAAATCATATGATCAAATTGAGCATATCCCATAAATGTCATCGAAGAACTTTCAAATATTACTCGAATGGCTCTCACTGACAAAAACAATGGTAGCGTATCGACTCACGCGCAAGAAAGGGACAGAGCACCCGAGAAAGATCCATTCACCGTCTCAAACTCGAACGAAATACTCGTTTCTACTTCGAAGTCTTCGAACATCGAAAATATCGAATAAATAATAAAAACATACAAACCATGTATATCGAAAGTTGACAGTAACATTGACCTAAGATTTTGACAAGGTGCGTAGGAGTAGGGGGACGTTTTGTGTTCCCAGTGGTCGGACGCGATTCGTACGGATTACGCGTGTCGTCACGCACCGAAAACCAAGTGCATAGTGGTCTTGTGGAACTTTGTGTATGTTAAAATAAATAGTGTTAAAATTAACAAGTTCTTGTGGTATACAAGTGCAAAATAACTGTTCGTGAAATTTCACTTTTACACGATTGGATTTTTTCCGGTGATAGTTCCGACATGTTTCTGTGGAGTTTATTTATTGTGAGTACTTTTTTTGTCTGTTTTTTGATCAATTGTTTCTTTTTCCAGTGCAGATTTTACTTCAAAATTTATTATTATATCCTAACCATCAATTGCAAAACCGGTAGTACTTTTTAGTTCGTAGAACCCAGCCTAAGTAATCAACCAGGATACAATTTTAGGACAAGGTAAAACAAAGTAACAAACTAGGTCAAATCGGCGTATCAACAAAATTAAAAACGACAACATCCCATTAACCTAACAGAACCAGTTTTCTAATCCGTAAACACCAAAAAATATGAGACGCGCCAACATTGACAGGTTAATAGCCAACAAGAATGACAAACACCAGTTTGCCTAGCTTTCAAGTAGAGATTCTACTTTTTACTAGACATATTTTACGGGTAAAGTAAACCTATAGGCTAAGAAAGTTCGCATGTATTGTGATACTTTCGCCAATAGATATGCAAAAGAAATAAAAAGCGTGCCAACGCGACGTAATAAAAACAGTTCTAAAAAGGTATTTTAACATCCTGATGACGTCATAAAGGTTGTGATCGAGGTCAATGGACTTGTTGAAGCATTTGATGTAAATTATAAAGATGAAAGTGCAGATGGTGATGCTAATTTAGAAATATCGAATTATTGATTAAGTATTAATGATATAAATGTAAATTATGATATTAAAAATGACGGTGATAGTTTTCTAATAGACGTATTACGTATGACGAGAAAGAAAAGGAAATTCCGAACTCATCTACATGCAATAGTTCTAGTCAGCTTCTAAGAATTGCACGGTGTAATAAGCAGTTAATACTTTCTACATATTTTTTGCGCACAGACTAGTGTTAAATCTGTTTCGCGTTTAATATGCTTCACGAAACGTTTCAACTTACATCGTTGGCTATAATTTGACTTACTTTAGTATTACTTGGTTCTTTATTATGGTATTTAATTATTATTACGTTTTCATCTTCATTATATTTTCTTACTTCATCGACGTTTAATTTATATAAATCAATATTGCTATTTACAAGTTCTATAGCATGTCCAATCTCCGAGAGAAAATCTTATACTATTACTAATAGAGTTTGTTTGTTTGAACGCTTTAATCTCTGGAACTACTGGACCGATTTGAAAAATTCTTTTTGTATTGGATAGTCTATTGATCGAGGAAGGCTATAGGCTATAAAACATTACGCTACGATTAATAGAAGCCGAGCAAAGTAGTTGGAACCACACGGAAGTTGGTAGTTAATAATATAAACCAAATCATTTACTCAAACCTCGGAGTCGCGGAGAACCTAACGGGTAACCGGGGCTCCGGCTCGACGTGCACGAGAAGGAACGGGGTGGGTTTTAGTCAGTAAGAGTCTGACACTCCCTCCCTGCTCACCCAGGCGGGAGCAGTCATTCGATGATTTTCCCCCCTTAAAAAAAACCTTATTTTTGTACAGGTACATACATTGATGAGTAATATCTCACATGTCCAATACTGCTGTTGTTTACAGAAAACCTTGTAGCACCGTTTATTGCATTCAATGTATATCATCCAATTGCAAATTATATTTATCTCGCTTCCATACAGATGTTTACATACATGCAACATTAATAGCAATATGGCAATGAAAGAGAAACTACCTTAACAGCTGATTATCAATCTGTCAATAAAAAAAGGGTCAGCAGTGAATCCGGTTATATTGAGACGCTGTTTTAAGGTCAAGCTAATATTCAGAGGTTTCTAAATGAGTAAGTTTTTTATGGATTTGGGTTTATTTGTTCAGCTTGACATTTTGACGTGGGTACGGTGTTTGAAAAGACTTCTGTGGCCATTTCGCTATTGGGTATTCTTTGCAGCTTTCTGGAAAGTTAATCGGTAAAAGATTAGAAGCGAAAATCTATTACGAGAGCACAATACTCTAATAGTCCCAAATACAGCAACTAAACACTTTGATTGAGGTCGTTCAAAATGGCGTAGGTACATATAATATTATTTAGTCTTACGGTTTCGATGTTTGTTTTTGTACTTGTTACTCCCGCGACGCTTTACTTGCTGGTCAGCGTCTATTGGTCGTAGCATATGTTTTCTAGTCTACTAGCGACCGGCCCCGGCTTCGCACTAGTGCAATATGCATGTATATATACATAGGTTTAAAAATCACTCAACCTATTAAAAAAAAACGCATCAAAATCCGTTGCGTAGTTTTAGTTTTGATGCCTTAAGCTTAAGGTATAATTTTATTAGGTGTAAATCTTTTTAGTTGTTTGTATTTTAACTCGTCGAGTACCGGTTTTGTAGACACAATTAAAGAACAATAGGTTGCGGTCACCGGTGACCGCTTGGTGTTTGACAGTTTAAGTGTAAAAAAAAATTAAAGGATCATAATCTTTTCCATGATCACACACAGACACACTCATGTATAGTACTTATATTTATTTTAGTGTATGTATTTTTATTTAGAGCTACATGACCTGGCAAATTTCATACCGCCAATACTTCTCATTTCTCACCTTTTAAAACCTTCCCTGGATTTCCACTATCATTTAACTTTCAATACCGAAATTTTCCAAATCGGTTCAGTCGTTCTCAAGTTTTAGCGAGACTGGAACGAATAGGAATTCATTTTTATTTATATAGATTTGTAGAAGATAGTATTGTTCTTAAGATGTTGTGTATGGGGAGCGTAAATGATACACGGACAACAGTATAGAATGGATGCTATATTGCGACTAAAACAATTTTACAATAGCAGGCGCAGCTGCACATAGACACACACACACTTCAATACATAGTATAAAACAAAGTCGCTTTCGCTGTATGTCCCTATGTATGCTTAGATCTTTAAAACTACGCAACGGATTTTGATGCGGTTTTTTTTAAAAGATAGAGTGATTCTTAAGGAAGGTTTGTATGTATATACATATTATTATTGCACCCGTGCGAAGCCGGGGCGGGTCGCTAGTATATAATAAAATACATTACATTGCATGTTATTACATGCGTCACCAATGTACTTGTGTCCCTACTGATTTGTTGGTAATATAATTATGTGTGTATTAAGTTTGATTGTTATTGTACACTGGACCATTCTCTATTTTCCCAACTCCTGATTACTAGCTCAATCCAAAATTTGTCTGTAAGAAATCGATACGGAACCGCGGAGAACGTAAATCGTTACCGTGGCTCCGGCTCGAAGTTCAGGAATAGGAACGGGGTGGTTTTTAGTCAGTAAGAGTTTGATACTCCCTCCCGCCTCAGGTAGGCGGAATAATAATTCGATGATTTTCCTCCCTTAAAAAAAATGCATCAAGTTGCCTGCAAATTGTGGGAATCATAATGTCAAACTGTCTATTTAGACAGTAGACCTATTCGGACTGTTTGGAATGACGAATAGTAATCCTAGATAATAGTAGAATGGTTCAGTAATCCAATAATAGGTACTTTATTCCACTTGTGCCCGATCGATCAAAAAGTTTAGTAAATCAAGTTCACAAAATATTAACGATGTTGTTTAATTAAAATTTAACCTCAAAACTTCTGATTCAACAGAAGCGTAACTGATTAGGATTAATTCGTCAATTTCGATTCGGCTCGTCTTTTCACCTTTTAAGAGAATTTCTGTTTTATACTTTCTTGCAGTGTTTGATAGTTTTATTGCTAACTAGCTTCTGCGACTGGCTTCACCCACGTTTTCTTGGAATAAAAAGTGTGGCCTATATAATATTATTCGAGGCTATAATCTACCACTGTTCCAAATTTCATCTCGGGTCTTGAAGACAAGATTATGGCAAACCCTTTAATGTTAAAGTCATGGTTACTATTGACGTTATTGACATTTATTCACAGAGAGACTCATTGTCTATATTTGACTGAGATATCATTCTCATCATCCCACTGCCACTGCTCACACGAAGAAGGTTTGAACATTAATCACCAAACTTGCTCAAATTATAATTAGAATTATAAATCCAGGTTTCCTCTCGATACGATCTCCGGCCACCGTAAGCACGGGCCTGCGGACGGCGAGCACGGGTGACTCGCCGCCCGACCAGAACCAGGCCCGAGCGTACGGCGCGTCGCGTTCCGCGCGCGCCTCAAGGAGCCATCAGACCACCACAGATGGGGCCTAACAGGGCTGATGCCGATACGGAGCCGCGGAAGACTTAACGGGTTGCCGGGGCTCCGGCTCGAAGTGCAGGAGTAGGAACGGGGTGGTTTTTAGTCAGTAAGAGTCTGACACTCCCTCCCGCCTCACCCGGGCGGGAGAAGTCATGGGACGATTTTCCCCCCTCAAAAAAAAAAAAAAAAAAGGTTTCCTCTCGATATTTTCCTTCACCTTTTGTCAGTGGTGTCTATATATTCTTAGAAGGTACATATAACTCGGAATATGTCACATTGGTACTTGCCGCTGAATTGGAGTTTCTTGTTCTTTCTTCTCCATTCAAAACTACACTTCGAGACGAGCGCAATTCATTTGATTGTGGATGGACAATTCAATAATTGTTGATGTTTCAAAAGTCCGTAATTAACGATTAATTGAAATAAATGACTTTGAATTTGAAATGTACAGTAAAATGAAATTAATATAATAATATATATTTTATCATGAGCCTTATTCCAAATTATTTAGATTAAGTATCTTGATACGGTAGGCTAACATTAGCCGTTTTTTGTTTATAGAAAGCTAAATTTGATTTGACTTTCTAGTACTTAGATAAGTAGCTATATTTAAGTGTTCCTGAATATATATAAATATGTATATTAGTAGTACTCTGATCTCTAATTTGAGATGATTTATCGACGACTTTTTTATAATTTTTAATGTTTTTTGACCTCATTAGTTCTTGCTTAGATGATAAATAATTTTCATTTAGAACAATAAATTATACCAGATAAGAATTAATTATGAAAAAACTGTATAATTATGAAAAGGCAAATTATTCAGTCCAAATAATCTTAGAAAGTAGGTACATATAAATCGGAAAATATCACATTGATGCCTACTTGCCGTTACTAGGTT